GACGAAACAGTTTGTCACAGCCCCTCGTTTGTTGTCCTCTTCTCTCTCTCTGCCTACAGTTTACCGGGCAGTTCTGTTTGTGACGATATATATATCCCTATTAAAAATAAAAAAAAAGTGTCAACCAAAGGCATAAACCAAATGGAGTGCGACAGAGGCATTTGGCCAATTTCACTGTTTTTTCTGTGAATGTTGACAGCCATTTGCATACTTATATACTGTCAGAATCATCTGCATTTTTGCATTTCTGTGTTGCACTGCCTGCGCGGCCCGCCCTCCTGGCTCCTTTTTTGCTTCTATTTTTCCACATTCCCATAGCCCTGCACTTTGCCAAGCTGTTTTGGACAACTGCCTTGTGTTCTGTAGCAAACTTGACTTTGTTGTTTTGTTCTTCTCACTCTCTCTGTTCCTTTTCCGTACCCCATCTCTACACCGCCCCCGCCCCCACCCGCCCCCCAACCGCCCGGGTTTTTGCTCACGTTTCACTTGGGGGCTGATTGAAATACAAGTCTGATGATCAGTGAAAATCCTAGCTCGGTTGGCACTCTTTCTCTCTTGCTTTCCACCTTTTTTTTTTTTTTTTTTGACAAATCAGATGTCGGAATCGACAAATCAGATGATCAGAGTGTCTACAGACCAAGCTTCTGGTCTGGAATTGCTGTCTCTTTCGGAGTCTTTCCTTTTTTTTTTTTTTTTTTAATCCCGTTCTGCTCCGCCCCTTGAGATCGTTTATTAGTTTCTGTCGATTCAAGTGGGGGGGGGGGGAGATGGGGAATGAGGAGGTGAGGGGTGAGGAGGGTGTGAATGGACCCCTGCAAATAGTGAAGAAGAGAAGGGGCATGTGAGGAGTAAGCAGCTGCACGGAGAATGCCGGATTGTCTAACAGATAAGTGTCTGTTCACAGCTGAAGTTGTTGTTGGAGGATCTCTGAAGAGTGCCTTTGCCGCACTGGTTCGTGAACACTACCTGGAGAGAGTACCAAGACCAGAGCCAGTGTTGCCACCTCGGAAAGCCGAGGCACCGAAGAGGATGCGCGGGCAGGTACGTTTACATACGTTGTCATTGTTGCTATCGGGGAGGAAGGTTATGGGGAAACAGTTCTTTCGAGTCCACCAATCAGGATGTGCTACTGGTGTCATCCTCATCTCTCTTCGAAGCGCTTAGCTGCTTCTGAGAATCTAGGCGAAGGTTACGCTGATTTGCAGGGTGCAGATCGAATCCTGCTGCTGTCACCACCTGCAGAGTTGAGTGAATGAGTAATTGCCACGTCTGATCTCACTCGGCCTCTTCATCCTTGACCGTGTGTATAGCAGGGACCTCGCTTCAATGCCATCCCATTTCATCTCTCTACACGGTGAAATCGCTAACGGAGAAATCTAAGATCCGGGCCATCCGCGGTCCTGCCGGGCGGATGACCTGGATTGTTGCACAACCTTTAAGACTTTAAGATCGCATGACGATCTGGGCCATCCGCCTGGTAATACTGGGCCAATGGCCTCAATCAACGAAAAATTGGCCTACTACGCATGCCTTACCATGGCAAGAGTGCCTGGCCATGTCCCCCCACCGGCCTGGTACATTCCAGGGGAAGATGCCCTGCCAAAACCACGGTTGGACATCACAGCCAAGGCCGCTGAGCGTTCCCCTCACACCACCTCTCCCCCGGGCCGCGGCTGCAGCATCACCTGCTGGAATGCACTTTCCGCCTAGGGAGATATCCCGGGCGCCCGGGTCCCGATGTCACGCCCGGATTGGCGACCGGGTGACCGGCCGGGCATGACCCCCGGGCATGGCCCCGGGCAGCCTCAGCGCAAAAAAATAAAAATAAAAAAAAATCAAATCCAAAAAAATCTGAAAAAAAATATGTTGTGTAGAATTGCAATACAAACAACTTTTGGCTGAGGGTCACATCAGAATTCCTCACAGAA